AGACAAATATGAGACCCCCAGATTATTTAGCTAAAGAGAAAAATCTAAGCACAGTGTGTGATTTTGTTGAGATCACTTCTAAAGCTTTAAAGGGAGACAAATGTGAGAGATCCAATGTCTGTAGCTAAGGAGAAAAACCTGAGCACACTGTGTGATGCTGTTGACATCTTGTTTGAAACTTCGGAGGAGACAAATGTGAGACCACCAGAGTCTTTAGACTAGGAGAAATATCTGAGCACAGTGTGTGATGTTGTTGAGATCTCTTCTAAAACTTTAAAGGAGACAAATATGAGACCACCAGAGTCTTTAGACTACGAGAAATGGCTGAGCACAGTGTGTGATCTTGTTGAGATCTATTCTAAAGCTTTAAAGGAGACCATTGTGAGAGTGTTAGAGTTTTTGTCTCAGGAGACAAGTTTGAGAAGCAGGAGACTCAAGCAAAAATCTCAATTCCTAACCTCATTTCTGTCTAGGAGAAATATTTGAGATGTTAAAGAGATCTCACTTTTGATTTTTCTTGCCTATGAAAATGTGATATTTAAAAATTATTATTTAATTTAGTAATTATTATTTAATAGTGATATTACCACAGTACTTTAGAGTATAACATGATACTGTAATGGTACATGTAGAAAAAGCATGATATTAACATGGTACCATTCCCCAAAAAATTATACTTCTTTTGGTAGTGTAATAACATGCATATATATCACAAATCCACTTCAGAGAAAGAAAAAAAAAATACTAAAAAATGCCACAAGACATTATTCACAATTTCTCCCCAAACAGCAATAACCCCTCCTCTGACTCTATCCACTAATTCACTGCCACTCTCTCTCTCACACTCTCTGCCAAAGGAAGTCCCTTGTGGCAAGAGCCAGTAAAGAAAAAGCACTCAGTGGGAGAGAAATAAGTAACATTCCTTGGATGAGAGAGTAGGATTCCTTGGCTCTGAAGGAAGGGTTATTCTGCCAGACTCCTCTAACAAAACATTTAACCTTGATTAGTTTTTTTTTTTTGCTTTGTGACTCTTTAATTAGCGTTTATGTGTACTAAATTTGATAGATATTACCCAAAACAAAGCCAGAAAACTAATTGTTTGCATTGAGTATTGAGTATAGTTGAGTATAATTGAGTATAGTTGATTATAGCATAGCAAATTAATCTTACATTTAGGTAAAATGTTCCATCCTTGACTGAAACTTTTTTTATATCCAGGAAATGCAAAATAAATTATTTAGCAAAATGACCAATCTGTTTGTTTCCATACAAGAAAAGTACACAAGAAAGACAAAAAATTACCTTAAATGTAGTCCATATGACTAATGTACCAGTGAGTAAATGATGACAGAATGTTCATTTTTGGATGAACTATCCCTCTTAAGCATGCCAGCTAATACACTTAAAATGCACTTTAAAGACAATCTTACAAATATATTGTACACCACATTTAGTATATAAAACTTTAGATCTTATAGAGAGTAGTGATCCAATAAAACACAATGATCTGATATTTCTCTGTCTGTCATTTTGAGCAATGCTCACACCTTCTCTCCTTTTCATCAATTGTTCTTTGTCGACCACATGATGAGACAAATGTTCCATGATGCCCTTCTATTAAAGAAGTTGGTGCTGTCTCTGGGGTCAGGCAGGGGGAAATGGATGATACTGATCTAGGAAAGAGTAGTGGGGCTGTAATGGCTTGAAAGGAAGACTGGCATTGAGAAAATCTCGGGAAAACTCATTCACCATTACACTAAGAGTTAACTGTTACTGAAGCACAAAAACAGGAATCGATACGAAGACAGATAAAAGCAACATGATACAATTTTTATTCCAGCGAACTCTGTGAGTATAAATTGACAGGGCATGATCAGGTGAAAAAATTGTAGAAGAAAAACACTTTTATGCTCGTCCTTCAAAGAGAAGGTTTGGGAATGTATCTGTGTCTGATTAATGGTGGAGGTTGCAAGATTTTTGTTGCTAACAAGCGGGGTGTTATTTCTCAAAGGTGCCTTCTGGGCAAGCACACGGGCTCTCCACATCGAGACACAACACAGAAACTATGCGCACACAAGGGAAAAACTCCCATGAGGCCTGTCTGTGAGGGAGAGCTAGCCACATGTTCTCTGCTGTTTATATGCTGTCGTGTTGGTGGTGTGTACTTTCATGAACCACACACAATAATAAATAGCACCAGCACTTGTGATGATAAGCGCTGAATAAATTTAAGCCTTGAGGGGGAAAATCACTGTGTAAACTAAACGACTTCTGTTGCTGTTTAATACAAGAACACCGAAAAGCAATCATGTTAAATGATTTAAAAATGCACTGTGTTGTTTAAACTTAAGAATGAAAATCTCACTTAATGTCTTTTTAGTTCTCCATCTTTGTATGTGTATTCTAACTTATGAAGGTTGGAAACATGGCTTAGTGGTTAACACATGCTCCAGTAAAACTGAGCTGTGGTACTCACATGGAAAATACAAGTTCAATTCCAGCTTATGTTAAACCGTCTTGTTTCTATCATATCTCCCCCACTATTATTATTAATAGCCAAAAATATAATTCATACAGAAGCAGACACGTGTGGCGGGGGATGGGCTGGGGGTTTGGGGGGGTTGGTTTTGGGTGCTTGAGCATCTGCCCTTTTCCCCCTAGATGCCCAAAGTGCCCTTTTGTCAAGGCAATTTTTTTTTGTAATTAAACGCCCTTTTCTGAAGGCCTGCCCAATCGAACTATTAGTAAAATTAATGAATAATAATTTATCCATAATAAAATGATCCACATAATGTCCTTTCACCGGACGATCTCATCCGGGATGATCCCTCACGTTAGGATGCCTTCAATAACGTCCACGCCTGACGGTAGGTGGAGTTCTCAGCGGAGCGGTGTGCTTGTATACTTATATTAATAAATTATTATTATTTTACAAGAACAACGTGAAGAGAGCATGCACAGCTGTTGTTTATATTGTTGTGTGTAGCCTGTGGAAGTAACGTTAGCAAGGAGCTAAAATGTTTTTGTTCAATATTTTCCTAATGACAATTTTATGAATGGTTTATAAAGCCCACCTTTTCCCCATTTTTATCGCAGAATGAGGCAGGAAATATATTTTATAGCTTCTATACTAAATGTCAATCAGTACTGCATTATTCATATAGTTTATTTATTTATTACCTTGAGATAACTTGAAAAACACACATAAACCATATATTTTCACAATCGTATGTTTATTGTCTTCACGTTTCATCAGTAAAAATGTTTCTGCTTTTTATTCAGCTTAGCTACAGCGATAGCCGGATTCTTTTGTCCATATTAGGGATTTCCTGGACGTCATAAGTTATTAATTCTATGAGTCCGTTTTGGACTTTCTGCATGAGAGCGCCCTCCGGCTTCGAGTATGAATGAAACACACACATCGCTCCTGATATTCACATCTCCTAATTTTGGATACAAATAAAACATCAGGTCATGCAAAGACTATCAATACGGTGAACACACTGCCCGAATAAAGTGCGGGGGACGAATTTACATTTTATTAAAATTAAATATTTATTAAATATTAAAAATGCAGCTAACGTAGTTCTACACACAGCAATATAATCAAAAGTGCCTGTTCTCTTTCGTTCTTGCTGATTGATTGGGAAAAGTTTAGAGGGCGTCAATGGGTCTTGTCTTTTTTATGTTATCTGACTAAAAACTATTAATATTTTGAACTATTATTATTACAGTACTTATTTTAAAAACATAGAGTGCCTTAAAAATAATTATCACAACACTGGTAAAACAGGCTTATAGTGATTTTCTCATCCTCCAAATTATACTTATCAATCCTGTTTTATTATCATTATCATTAAAAAATGAATAAATTCAGAACATAATTAGAATATATTTCTATTTTAAATAAGACAAAAATACTTTTTTTCTACAACAGCAAAAGTAGTGTTTACAACAGCAAAACCACCATACCCTGTAAACTCAATAATAATAATACGAATAATAATAATATAATTCAGTTTCTAATTCTAGAGGAATTAAGAGGTGCAAACAAAAAATTCTTTAACTTTTAAACTTAAAATGGTCTTTTCTGTTCTGTGATTCTTTTTCAAAACTGTGTCACGGCATTTGCTGCTGTATCAATACAGAAGCATCCATTTCGATACACGTATCAGCAAGAGCACAGCACTATTTAAAGCCGTGTTCCATGTACCCCTTTTATACTTTGTGCACCTGCCCCTCCAAGGGTCTCTGTACGGCCCTGTACAGAAGTGAGAACTGACCTGTGAGTCATTTGAGGCTATGGAATGTTCTGTAGGTGGCAGGCTGGAGGGAGGGATGGCAGGAGCAGGTCTTTGGGTGGCAAAGGCAGGAGCTGGGTGCACAAGGGGCGGACTGTGTCCAAATGCAGAACCTACGATGCCCGGTTGCCGACTGATCAGCTGCTGATGCATTTGCAGTGCCACAGGTGTCGGAGGATATGCAAAACTCAATGCAGGGCTGTAAGACAAAATAAACAGAAAAAATAATTTTAAAATTAAATTAATAAATTAAGTTCATGTTACAAATTAGTGAAATTTGGTCATGTGGTAAATTATAAACTCCTTTATTTATATAATATTTGTTATTGAATTCAATTCATTCATTATTTAATATTATTTATAATGCAGTACAGTTCAAACGTTTGTGGTCAATAAGATTTTTAACGATTTTGAAAGAAGCCTCTTATGCTCACCAAGGCTGCATTTATTTGTTAAAAAATACAGTAAAACAGTAATACTGCAAAATATTATTACAATTTAAAACACCTGTTTTCTATTTTAATCTATTTTAAAAAGTAACAATATAAAGCTGAATTTTCAGTAGCCATTATTCCACACTTTCACATTCACGTGTCAAAAAATCATTCTAATATGAGTTGATGCTAAATAATAATTTATTATCATTGCCAAATTTGAAAACAGTTGTGCTGCTTAATATTTTTGTGTGTGTTTTTCAGGATTCTTTGATAAATAGAAAGTTCAAAAGAAAAGGATTTATTTGAAAGACATTTTTTTTTGTAACAATGTAAAAGTCTTTACTGCCACTTTTGATCAATTTATTGTTTTGACCCAAGACTTTTGAAAGGTAGTGTATACAATGCAATAATATTTTAAAACATGAAATAATTCTAAAAATATTAACAATCCAATTATTTTAATAATAATAACCATTTTATTAGTAGAAGTCCAAAAATTACACATATAATGTATTAAACTGATCATCCTAATAAACAATAAAAAAATAAAATAAAAAAAACATAAACCTTTTAAGTTCCAAGGTAGTTAATGTAAGATTAATCAACTGACGAGCATAAAAGCTGTATTTAAGCACACTATTGAACTTTTATATATCAACTCCTCTTCTATAGATGCCACAGTCTTTTGATGATAAAGCTCTGATGCTCAATAACAGACATTCATAGGGGGTTACATTCATCGTGGGGCATGCTGACCACTCCATACGAGCTCATACGTCTACTGGCCTTATTACAGGCAGAGAGGAAATCAATGTAGCTAGACGCTGCATGGCTGACGTGGCTGACGTCTCATCACTCATCAGGCCTGGACCCTTGCCTGCCACCTCTGTCCACACATGTTCACACGTGATAGGACTGATTAGCTTGCGAAAACAAATCACTGATTAATCACTCTCAGTGGAGGAAAGAGGTCCATTTCTGTTGTCTTTTCTCTCTCCGAGACCCCCACCCAAACCAGGTAATGTCATTTCCTAATAGTGCTGGATGGCAGACGTCAAACTGAGTGACACATCGCCAGGGACGCTAGCTGTGTCTTCACTGTAGATCCACCCTTCAGTCTGATATAGAAGTTACAAGACTGTTCAAATGTAACAACTTATGATTTTCGGACATGCTGCACAGTCTGTGATAATCTCCATTTTAACATTTGATATTGTACTTATGGTACATTACACTTTTGATCATGTCTTAATACAGCGTATGTTAAAACAAAATAAATCAATTCCAATTTGTGATAATTTGTTGATTTTTTTTAAGTCTTTTAAATTTCAGAAAGTGTGTCTCATTTCACATACGCCATCATTCAAAGGTTTGGGGTCAGTAGATTTTGTTTTGAAAGAAACATTTATTCAGCAAGAATGCATTAAATTGATCAAAAGTGAGATTTCCATTTCAAATAAATGCTGTTCTTTTTAATTTTCCATTTATCAAATAATCAAGAAAATTTGCACAGAAATATTAAGCAATTATCAAATAATAAGAATTTTTTCTTGAGCATCAAATCAGCATTTTAGCTTTGCCATTATAGGAATATATATATATATATATATATATATATATATATTTTTTTTTATCTA